ACAGTAAATTTAAAACCTTCAAACCCCTATAAAGATAAAACAACATTTAAATTACATTATTACGCCTATATTCCATAATTTTACATTAATATTTTATCTACCTTAAAGGCAAGGTAATCAGGTATTTACCTTAATTCTAAGGCTATAAGCCTAGAAAGCCCTAATCACCGCCCGATTTATAAAGTCCTCGAAATTGCAGGCATTTATTTAATTAAATAGAGTATTAATAATCATATCTAATAGTTATTTAAATTAACTCCTAAAGATGATCATATTCACTATCTGAATTCATTACCGAATTTACTACCGAATTCACTACTGAATATTAAAGTAAATAAATTAGAGGCCTATTCAGCAAGAAATTCGAATAAACCAGTTATCTCTTATAAAACAGCTAAACTATAATATTCAAGATTAGGGCACCCAAGCTCTAAAGCCCTAAAACACCTTGATTTAATAGTAAATAAAGTAAAAATTAATAATAAATCAACTAAAACTGAAAATCATTGCCTAATTTATTAATTATTAATATTAAAACATCAAATTTCTTAAATTCTAATTTAATTAGGGACTAAACTATTTAAAACCATTCATTAGAACCTTATTCATTTAAATCAGAGAATCTATTAAAAATAATATATTAGCCATATATATTACCCCTATTTAAAATTTTATATAGCTAAAGCAATTTTATTAAAAGATCACGTAAGTAATTTAATCATTAAAATAATTTAATTCATTAAATATTAATATTATGTAATTATCAAACGATTTTATTTAGATCAAAATAGAAATCTAGCTTATTTCTATAATTACGCGAGATCTAAAAGGGTAATCTACAGCACTAGCCTAATTAAATAACCTAAGCAAAACCCATTTACAGAATATTCAGGTGCCTTAATTATATAAAAAATACAGATTTTATTTATTAATTTAAGATTACCGCTATATTTATGGCCAGAATCATTAAATACAGCGATATATATATTAAATCATACCCCCACTTATTCACTAAAGTAGAGTACCCCGTATAAAACCTTATTCAAACATCTTAACCAGCCTCTATCATATATAATATTATTATTAAACCTCTCAAACTTAAAGCGGTATGGTTGCCAAGCCTATACAAGGATTTTAAATATCCCTAGGCTTAATAAGCTTAAACTAAGAGCTCTGATTAACTACCTGATAAGGTACATTACCCTAAATATATAGAAAATATAGATATTTGGTTAAAATAAAATTATTTCGGCATATAATTATATCTTCGATAAAACAAAGATCTATAAAGATGAACAAAATATTCAAATATTTAAACTAGACCTAATTAAATTAGAAAACCCTAAACTACTTAGTCTTAAAGAAATTAATAATTTAATTTCTTTAATTTTGATTAATTTATCTAAAACCATTAAATTAAGGTTTACTAAGGATAAAATTATTAATGATATTTATTCTAAACCTGAATAAGATAAATTAGAACTATTTAATAAATATAATCCTATTCATTATTAATCTGAACATAAAAATTAAATTATTAAATTAAATAATTAAAATAATTAAAATAATTTAATTCAATCAAATGCTCAAAATAATGAGATTTTAGGAGACTAACCTTCTACTCCACATTCTTAATCACCTAAAGTCATTATTAATAATTCGCTATTCAATTTTAATGATTATAACGATTTTCATAAGCCATTATCCCTAAAAAGGAATAGGTCAGAATCATCTGACCTAGGACTTTCAAAAATGCCTCGAAACTTTGTATTAAATTATACATTCTTTATAGCTTAAATTAGCAATAATAAATTGCATCGAAATAATTTGCCTATTAAGCCAACTAATTGGAATAAAATAATAAATTTGCCCTTTCGCGATAAATGGCTAAATACATGCAAAATTAAATATAATCAATTAACAAAAATAAACACGTGGGAAGCTATCCCTAAAACAGATAATTTAATTTAAAAAATCCTACCATTAAAATAGGTATAGAAATACAAGTTTACTAATTAAAGTCAATTATTAAAATTTAAAGTAAGAATATACATTCATAGAGATCTTTAACCAATCAATAATCTTAATTCTAAGGCCATTACCCTAGCCACGCGAACATTTAGGACTATTATAGCCCTAATTACTGCTTTTAACCTTAAAATAACTTAATAAGATATAGTAAATACTTTTCTAAACAGTGAATTAGACAAATTAATTCATGTTTCACCGCCTCCCGGACTCGGTTAATAAAATAAGGTTTTTAAGCTAAATTATTATTTAATTAATTCGCGCTATATCTTTGCCTTATAATCAGATAACTAAGATATTATAAAGATATAATCTATTAGTGTCTAATTTAGGGATATACTTAAAAAAATATAAGTTAATTTATTATAAATAAACTCTGTAAATAATAGCTAATCTACTTAATTATCTTATTAAAAATTTATATAATAATATAGGTATATTTCTATAATCTAATTTTATTATTCTGCTTAACTATTAGTTTAAGGATAGAATGCTGTATTTATTTAGTATTTAATTTAGAGAATCTGATAGAATTTATTTTAGTATTTATTTATAAATAATAATCTTTTATTACTAATTAATTTTTTTAATATTTTATATCTGTAAATAATTTTCTCTATAAAAATATTAACTAATTATTTTATATTAATAGTATTTTATACTAGGATATATTATACTATTTTAATAAATCTATTTATTAAGATTAGGATTATATTATAGATAGAACTCTTATAATTTACTAGTAATAAGTTTATAATAAAATTAAATATTATTAATTATTACAGTCTTTCTAGGACTAGTAAAAAGTTTAATTATTTATATTTATAATAATATAAGACTTTATTATACTAATAAATAATATAATTAATAATGTATTTTATTATATCCTTTGGTATAAGATCTTATTAAAAATATTAATAAATAAAGTTTAATATTTTATTTTATCTAAAATATCCTATAAAAAAATTATTATAATAGATATATAGTAGCTCCTACTATAATATAATATTTAAAAGTATATATAAAATACTTTTATAATATATAAAATCTTTTTTATTAAGATTTTAAGTCTCCGGAGAAATAATTTAATAAAATAAATATTATAAATTAATTATATATTATATAAAAATATTTTTAAATTATACTTACTATATTAAGGCCTTAAAGCCTCTGGTACTAGATTTATATTTAGTTTTTTTATAATTACTCTACATGTTAATCAAGCTCGTCCATGAGGTATTACTACTTTTTATTTATTTATTAATTTAATTTATTTATAAATTTATTTATATATTAATTTAGTACTCTTGTAAATAATTATTATTTATTTATTTATTAGTTTAATTTTTTTATAAACTAGTTTAGGTATTAATTTAGCTTTTATATAATATAATATAATTTAAAATATAAATATTTTTAATTCTAATTTTAATATTACTCTCTAAGAATTGCGGTTTGCTATTTCACTGCCATTTTCGGCGGCACGTGCCGCTGAAAATAGCCGTCTTTCAGTAACATCCCTCCGCCACGCTCCTGTTTCCTTTAACCACGTACCAGCTTATTTACTGTTTCTATCTCAGGCTGCTATTATTTAGGCGGCTTACATCTTAGTTTCCTAAAGGCTTATTTATTACTTTATTATTATTTATTACACTCTTACAAGGGTGCCAAAAATGGCCTTTTTCACCCTGCTTATTATACTTTAGCTAGTATCTAGTTATTATAGCTATAAATATCCTCTCTTTAACTATTTTCTATCTAATATTCTTTCTATTTTCTAATTTAATTATTATTTTAAAGTTTTTCCTCTTCTTATGCCTCTGTGCTATTTATTTAATTATATATTAAAATATTTTAAATCCTTTAGTAATTTTTTTTTATAATTAATATAATCTTCTAATTATATATTATTATTAGAGGCCTAATACTAGCAACTACTAAATTACAAGTAATTCCTTTTATACCTTTTCTATTAATACTAATAATAACAGATTATTTAAGCCCGACTTCTTTAAAAAATAATTTTATTAAACCGGAATATTCCTCTCTAGCTAATTAAAATATTATTAGGAATAAGTTAAGTCCAAGTACTAGCATAAAATTATTATAATTAAATATATTAAATATAAAGTATATTTATTAGGCCCTATACTAACTTTCAGATGATAATATAGATAAGAACCTAGCCTAGATATTAGAGAATTATAGCTAATCTAATAATATAAAAAAGCTAAAACTTTAACTAAAAGAGTATTAGATTTAATAAGTAATTAAGATCTTATTAAAAGATTATAATAAGATACTATTAATTAACTAATATGCCTTATCTTAGATTCTACTAAATCAAAGTAAAGGAGTAATCTGTTAATCTAAAATAAAAGAATATAAAAGATATATTATATAAGATATCTTTAAGTAATATATATTAATTTTTTAATTAATATCTGAAGCTAGAGTATAGTCCTAATAGCTACTATTAGAAAGGCTATATAAAGGTTAGTACCCTAAAGGCGGATTAGAAATACTTTTAAATTTACTATATACAGGTTACTAAATATAAGATAAGCAAAAAGATAAGTAAAGCAGTTTGCATAGTTTATTTTTGTTTTTTTTTTTTTTTTTTTTTTATTTTTTAATCTCCCTATTATCTTAATAAGGCTTGCTCTGACAAGAATAGACAGGGCATGAGGTACTTGGTTGACAAGCGTGGCCTTAACAAATAACCGCGGGTAAGTACCCTAGTATATATTAAAGATTTAGTCTTATTTAACGAGATAATCCTTTAAACCCGGGAAAAATGATTTTACCTGGGGTTTTAGTGGATTATTTTATATTTATATAATATTATTAGGCTATTTACTATTAACTAGAAATAAATAATATTTTATTTTTAATTTAAATATTTATAATTATTATTCTAGCAAGATCCGCGCGGAGGACCTCTAGTACTAATAATAAAACTTAAGTTCTAGTTTATAAAAAGTGTCTTAGGCATGTTAAAGCTGTAGATGCTACCTAGTACTATATATCTACTTATTATATGGCTTGTTGGACTGACTAGCTAATTAGAAATATATTCTTACTACCTAAAATTATTTATAACATATTATTTATCTTTAGCCCGCACGTCTTGCTCTTTAGTATATTATTTTATATTTATATATTTAAAGTAACTTATTTAACCTTAATAAAAGACCTACGGAGGCTACTTATTAAGAATAGTTAATAGAAAATATTACTCTCCTTAAAAAAAGAGATAAATAATTATTATATCTTCCTAAAGATTAATATAATCTGTAGTTAGCCCTGTATTTTATAGGAGATACTAATAAATAAAAATATACTTAACACACAGCTCAGGATATTTAATAAGATATATAGCTTTTTTAATTATTTTTTCTCTTACTAGTTCTAATATAGAGGAAGTAATTTACTTAACAAGAGTAGTAAGTAAACTATTGTCAGATGAAATGCTAATCTGGGCTTATAACTATCAGATGGGGTAGGTAGGTCACGTGGGTTGAATAGAAATTTCAAATGACTAGATAGAATAAAGGAAATCGATCAGTCAGATAAAGTAAACAGTTCACCTGGACCACCTAGATCTGATGATAGACCAGAGGTCCTACCATTCACTATGCATGTAGATAGGTGAAATTGATTAATAAATAAATAAATCAATAAGTAAATTAAATAGATAAAATCAACTTATCAAATTAAAACAGTAAAATCAACTTGTTAAAAAGAATAAATTAATACAGGTCATTAACTGCATATTTATAGACAATAAAATCAGGGCTAATTCAATCTGGCCCTAAGCAAATATTACAAACATAAAATCATCAAATCCTTCTAGGCCTTTACCTATAAGTCATATCATTAATCTAGGCCTTCAAAATCAACCTCATAGATCATCATTAGATCAATATTTAATCATTTAAATAATCAAATAATCAGGATTTCATGATCAGAATAATTAAAACAATCGAGATTCAACACATAAATCATAATAAAATCATTTAAATAATATCAGAATAACCAGGGTAGCAATATTCACTTTATGGCTTATAAAATGAATAGACGAGACATTCTGGACCCTTTGTATTAATCATCTGAACAAAGCCATTGATCACAGTGGTTGAAATAAACTTTTAATTTCCTAAATAGGAAATTCATCGAATTATGTTTTCTGACTTCCATAGGATTCTAGCGACCAGTGATTTCCTAAATAGGAAGGTAAGCTAGTCCAAAATAGGAAATTCTTCAGAAATTTTTCTTTTTCATTTTCTGCTCACATTAAGCTCAGTTTCACCTCACTTTTCCCATACAATTTAGTGGTGGAAGTGAGAGTTCAATGAAGTGACAGTAAAGTTGTAGTAAATTTTAAATAATTTCGGTTGTGGGGTTAGATCAGGTGATTCTGATGAATCAGGTGATGTCAGGTGACCCCAATTGACAACTATAAATCTCTAAAGTTCTCTTCTCTTAATAGTAGATAGATTAAGTCTTTTATCCAGGTTTCATTAGTAAAGCATAATATGATATAATTATAGCCCATATTATTAATAAAATGTTTATTAAATATTATTATCCCTGTTAATATACTAGCTTATAGGAGATTATGTGCGGCCTTGATCCTGATAAGAAGTTCTTAAAGGCTATAATCCGGATAAACTATTAAATTAATTAGTAGTAATTATAACACTTAAATAACACTAACCAGGAATTAATAGAGAAAAACCCGGAATTATAATTAATTATATATTAGTAATTTAAGCTAGACTTTTAATATAGCAGTTACTTTTATAAGCTAGTATTATAAGTGATATTAGAGGATTAAAAATATAAAGTCTATAATCTGTATTAGTGTTTACAGGAAAAACAGCGGAAGGAAATATAGTATAATTTTAATTAAAAACAGGCTATAATTAATATTAAATAATAGTTAACTAGTAAAACGGTTAGTAATAAGCCCGCGCGCCAGATATTACGGAAAGAGTTTATAATATTACTAGAGTAGATTTTTCTTATAGAGATATTTTTCACTTAACCTATTACTAATTCATTAGAGGATGAGTAGATATAATATAATAAAGTTATTACTACTGGAATATAATATTATAGTTTTTAGAAGAGTGGGCCCCTCCGGAAATAACAGAAGTGCTCTGCACTATCTAATAATAATAATATAGTTTTATTTTTGCTAGTTTAAAAGATAAAGACTAATATACTGCTAACTATGTTACCAGAGAAAGAATATACTTCTGATAGGAAAGATATTCTAAATATAGAACAAACCTTTACATGCTTCTAATGTCCCAAGATATACTTTAATTATAATAAAGTAAAGAGGTATTTTAAATTATTATATTTAATAGACTAAAAATATAATTTTTATAATCTATCTATCTTATATAAGATATACTTACAAAAGCATGCTGGGAATATATATGGTCTTTAAATATGAGTGTCAGGTTCTATTTATCTAATACTGGAGGCCTTTGCCTATTTTATTTATATGTTTTTCTTTTTAAACTTAATTAGTAAAGGTATTATTAGATTGGTTGCTGTTTTATTAGAGAGTATTTTGTTTATCGCGATTATATAGAGCCCTCGCAACAGGATGTTCTTGTTCCTTAGATGTCCAGTTGTGATGATTGAATAACCTTGACCATACCAAGAATCTGGAATGGTGTAAAAACGAGCAGCCTGTAATTGACAGCGAGCGGCAACTTTCTGGAAAATTGATGGACGAAGAGGTAATGGGCGCGCTCGAGCGAACTGGGTATATAACTCCCCAGCATATGCTCTTGATCGATTCTATTCTCACCATGCCCAGTTCTACTGTCGAGCAGGAATATCAGCGTCGAATCTCCGCGATCAATGCAGTTATCGCTTTCTGTGATGTGGAAGAGGGGTCGCACTGGCCCCTCACAGCCTTTCAAACGCCGAGGTCACCCGTCCGTTAATAGGCGGCACTCCATCAAACTAGAACCAAATATCTTAGAGCAAAGCTATAGCACTCAGGAAAATCCCATATTTCGTGTCACAGCCATAAATTTATAGGCACTAGTGTATAAATACCATTAGGTATTACAGCAGAATCAATGTTTCATTCCGTGCTTGTACTGTGTTTAAGTATTATTTTTAATATTAACTTTGCAAGACAAGATAGCGCCAGGTCAACTTCCATATTCCTTTAGTAAGATTTAGTAAATTAAACCCTATAAATTTAGATCTTAATTCCTATATCTACCTTCCCCGCGTGCTGAGTGCTATAAGCAGTATCAGTGACCTTTTAAATTAGAGACAAGGATTTAGCTAATTATTAGTCCTAATACCTCCCTCGGCCCCGTATTAATCATGCAGCTCTATTATATTATATAAACTTATTAAGAAATTAATTAAATATTATCTATTTATAAGCGATCTCCGTCAACAGGACAGCCCGCTACTATTATACTAATACCACAAGTAGTACACATCATCAGTGTCAGAAGCAAAAGGTCCATCCGGTGTTACACCGCCTAATAGCACAACAAAGGGACAGTGTTACTAAATCTCGTGTTAACTGGTTCTAGCGTTTGTATTTTGGTTATTCGGAGAGATACTAAACTAAAACAGACAATCTGCCGCCAATGAGTATTACAGCTATTGTTAATAATCCGGAAGAGGGCTCAGCAGAAGAGCCAATTGAGAACGTGGTGATGACTATCAAAGGAGAGGATGCGTTATTTAAAATCTTCTTAGATCTCTTGCGCGCTGTTAAGTTGGCCAAGAAGCTATATATATAATACAAGATTTTGATATACAAAGTAATGCCTGGCTTTAGTATTCCTTTGCCAGAATTGGTCTTAGTTATACGCGTTTTTTTTTTTTTCCGGCGTTGTCGGTTTCCGAAACCATAACATAGCTGTTTTGCCAGTAACCTACGTCTTTTCTGTGCCATATATAACCTCCACTTTATTATCAGGAACATCATCAAAAAACCTCAAATCCTTATCTAAAGCCCCGTCTGGCCGTTACTGCTTCAACCATAGATAATAACACAAGACAAACTAATATTTTATTGCTATAGGTGCTTAAACTCCGCTCCGGTGGCGCAATTAATCTGCATCAACAGCGAAGTAAAAATCCTATCCGTATGCCGGCGCCCTAAAGATACAGTATAACAGATATCCTAATTGTAAGCAAGTCCGCAAACACCTAACTAAATATAGCTAGAAGCTCTACTTTACATAGTTTCTTTAGTAAACCACTATAGCAAACTAAGACCTATTTCGAGCATATAGCTCAGCTCTTGGAGGTGTTTTCGCTTATAATAACTGAAATTAAGCTCCTATGGTTAGTCTTTATTATCTTGAGAATTTACCTGTCTTATACAGGAATAAAAGTACTCCGGAGAATATATCAAGATCTGATCGCAGGGCCCGAGAATTAGAACATTGTAGTACTAGAAGCCTCTAGTATTAACATCTTCTCAAACTTCCATGCTGTTCCAAATTCTCGCGCACAGGACCAGACCGCACGAAAGGGCATGCTAAATCCAAACCAACAAAAGCATAAGTCTATGCCAAGCATTGGTTCTAAGTTATATAAAAATATTTTCTTTGTTTGCTTAGAAGGCATCAGCAGCCTATTGTCCGACTAGAGTCAAATATTATGGCAAATATGCAGGAAAGTTAATAAGAAGTTTTATACAGTATACTACTATTAAACATTCCCCTAGTATATGAGAGCCTCCATGAGGAAGTTTAATATGGATTTAATCTTATAGTTAAATACTCTATCAGATCAGTGAAATTTACACTTGCAGCATAGCTTTATTTAATAAAAAACCTTTACGCCCTTTGCTCCCGGTATTAGTAAAAAGTAAAGTGCCAGTCCAAGGTGCATATCTTTCTAAAAAGGTACAGAGGCGCCGGGGTATGGCCTGTATATTATACCGAATTAAGTATATAAAGGTTATAATCTTTTCTATGGTATTTTGTAACCATCTTACTAACGGATGTGCAGTGTGTTAGTATGCCGCCGTCTTATAAAGAATATATCTAATCCGGTATCCAGTGCTTCTTTAATCCTCACGAAGATAAGTGTTGTAAGGAGTACTGGGAGAAGATCCAAAATAATGCCAGAGTGTCTTATAATATGATTATATAAATTGTTTCTTTAATACAGCACGGAGCCTACGATCAGATCATATAATTAACAGAAAAGATATATCAGGAAAACTCCCCTGAGCGTGCAGTTGAGTGCCTACGATCATTATTACTCAGGTATAAGTATGTAGGATAAGAGGTAATAGGCAATTTAGGTCCCTACTAACAGTTGCTAGGTCTGAATCACGACCAGAAAGTTTATGAGACTGTTTTTTTTGAGGCCCTAGCATGCTAGCAAGAGTCGTCCACCAACAGACGGTTGGATGTTTGTACGCGGTACTTGTAGTCACCAATATGATCCCATTTTTGGAACTTGTTGGCCAAGTTTGTCGAAGAGAAGCGGCTCATCTAGGAACATAACTGAATCTGGAATATCCCAAATCTCCCAATTGAGAGGCTTTCAGTTTATCAGATCACGCGACCGGATTTTGAGATAACCATATCTGTTCTCCAGAGTAATCTGGCTCCTGCATAATCTGGGTGAGTTCTTAGGATAGTGGAGACTAGCCGTAGGAGCTTAAACCGGGTTCTCATAACGAACGCACCCTCAAGAGCTAGTTGGTATGCACGAAGCAAAACCTACTTTGCCGTGGTGGACTACTGTTCAACAAGACCAACGGTTTGATTCAGCATCTCCAATTGACTACTACTAGTATATTATCTATTCTGGAGTAAACATGACAAGCCGACCGGGCAAGAATCGCGGGCGCATTCTTTTACATTGTTTGTTCAGTAAGCCATCATAGCAAACTAAGACCCATTTCAAATATAGCTTAGCTCTTAAGGGTGTTTTCGCTCATGACAACTCAAAGTAAGCTCCCACGGCTAGTCTTTATCCTCCTAAAAACTTAGCCGTATTATGTAGGAACCAAATACTCTGAAGAACATATTAACATATTTAGAGATCTTAAAATCTGGTCAGGGGATCTAAAATTAAATCTTATTCTGCTAGAAGGTCCGAGCCGCCCCTAGAACTATTAGTAATATTTTTAAGAGGCTAAAGATACCGTGAATAAATATTCAGCTACCTGTAGGAGTTATCCTCTAAGCCTATAATTAAAGAGAGAGTATAAGACGCTAAAACTGGTTTTATATTTTTATGTAATATATTTATTTATAGCACAACAAATAATAGGACAGTATAAGTGTTGTAGATCTAGGTTTTCTGGTCTCGTCTGATGGCTTAGAAAATAGCAGAGAGCTTAGGTAGGTTAGAATAATTTCTTATAATAAATCTGGGGAATACTAAGGTATTAGGAAATATATAAATTTATAATTAAGATAAAAAATATTATAGCTAACTAACTTTTTTAGTTCTTCCCTCTAGCTTAGTATAAAATACCCACGGGTATTACTCTCGGGGTATATCCTTGTAGATAAGTATAATATAGGCCCTTTATGTAGACCTTTAATAATTATTAATAATAAATAGGTCCGTACTATGGCTAGAAAATTTTCGAGATATTAATTTTATGTTCCTCTTAGGCTTTTATAACCTAAATATTATCAATTTCCACTGTTAGCGTAAATGTGTTTAATTTACTTATAAAAGATAATTATATTATATTTTCACGCAATTTATAAGGTCCTAAGTTAATTAAATTAGTTTACTTAATAAGCGCTTTAGCGCCCCCTTGTTAGCTGGTTCTAGAGTCTATATTTTAGTTATTCGGAGTGGAACTAGCCCGAAATAGGTAATCCGCCGCCGGTAAGATTTGGTGGAATGATAATATTTGGAGATTGGACATTGCTTTTGTGGATGTATTACAGCTGAAGTGGCTGGGACAGTCATAGTCGTATGTCGACTTACCATGGAAGCGCGCCAACCCCTGTCCAATTCTCTAAAGTCTGATCAATCATCAACTGGATAGAAATAAACATGAAGACTTAAAACGGCCCACGAATGCCGTTCGCGCTCATAAGGGCTCTGATAATCGCAGCAGCAGCTCCCTGGCCGTAGTGCATCGCCATGTTCAGTCCGAAGCGCTCTGAATCAGGTCGAGCCGGGAGCGACAAAAACCGTTCCAATGTATGGCCTGGGACATATGAACTCGGGCTGCCGGTGAAATATTGCTCGATTCTTTTCCCAACCGTCATGCTGCCTGTGTCAGTCTTCTGCTAGGCTTTCGGATGCGAGGAGCTAGTGAGATGGACTTACGCCGCGACGCCAAACAGGCCCGCTCCACAACCATAGAGAATGCACCGGCCTATTGAGAAGGACCTAATTGGCTGTTCTGGGATGTAGTGCGACGCCACATGAATAGGGAACGGGGGCCTTTTCATTTCTGCGCACGAAAGTCATTGGGTTGAGCGCAGCTCATGCAGCGAATTTCTCCTGGAATATCATGACTGGAAGAGCCAAAATGGTCATCAAATCCTTGTTGCTGCTGGAACCAGGATATGCCCTGGGGGAATCCGCTTATTTTCCGAATGACTTTATTGCCTATACGAATAGAGATCGTGATAAGCTCTGTTGGGTGTCGGACGGAAAAAGACACATGTTTCTAGTAACGATGGCATACGGAACAAATATTTTGACCCAGTTCACATTCTGTAAGGGCCTCCGTTTGAGTTAGGAACTCTATTTGCGAGGAGTAGAGCTCCGTGAGTGCATCTGCGACCCGGCGATAGTCTCCACGGCAGTGGATGGAACCCTGGCAGTAATAAACTCCCAAGTTATGATACATAGGGCGATCTAATTGAAAATAGAAATTTGGGGTTAGAAGTGTAGTTGCAGCCCCAACCAGGTCAGCGGATTTGTGGGTCGCACTGCACGTAATGCTTTTGCTTAATACTGTCAGCATTGTCGAGCTGGATGGGTCGAGCCAACTGCGAATTCAGTCACAATATGTCTTGATCTGATGTGGTTCTCTTTATATTTCAAAACCGTTGCTGTCTATCTAGAAAGATGTTAAAAGCACTTAGATTGCGAGAAAGTGAATTGGCAAGCTTAGGTTGTCTTAGCTCTTCTTCCCATAGGAGCATAACCCCTCTTGACCTGTCATCTCTTGGTTGCGGGGTGGCTGTTTGCTTGGTGAGCAGGTGGCGAGCTGATTCTATGATCATTTCCTTTTCTAGATTCATCACCAAAGCCCACGGGCTGGAAGAATGTGTATTAATTGCCTATTCTTACGGTTCTGAGCGGGGCAAGACTACGCCGGTCAGCTGAAAGACCAGAATCTCGAACTTTCTGTCAAATACCACCCATATTCTCCAATGACTGGAATGGCCTTTCCCTGCGTGCCGTGCATGAAGTATACTGCATTGCATTTATCACGCTGCATGTTGATACTTGGTGAGTTGTCATGCAGCGGCTTAGCTACGTTAGTAAAGGGGCGTTAAGGCCTCTACTTGTGACCGAACCTAGCGTGAGAAGCATAAACAGGGCAGATAGACTAAGCATACCTTCGCTCCAGGGCTGTCTAGACCTGAAACTAGCTCTTTGAATAGAAGTAAAGAAACAGAACAAGCCGGAGAGGGCCGCGACCATTTCACAGATCAGACGAACCGTGGCCTGCTATTACTACTGTACCATGTCACCAAAACAACGTCAATCATTTGTATTCCTTAACAGAGAGGAAGAAAGAATATCTCTTGCCATTCCTTCCGGAGTAATTCAAAAGGCTTGTTGTCCAGCAGTTTGGTCTAATAAACCTCCGTCTACATGCCAGGACTACGCGCGTGTACAACACAAAATGGCAATTTCCAGGACCTCGATATCTCAACCAATATCAAGTATTCTATTGAGGTCCACTCTATCTAATAGGTACCATAATCCGTTCGTGCATACTCTACGTTGAGTAAGGAAATTGCTCGTCAACATACTACTTTAGGAAATCAGTTTATTGTAACTTATTACAAGTTGGGCAAGCTGAAAATACTTCAGCTACATAGCTTATACACCGCTGGCCAAGTCACGAGCCCGACCCTTCAGGTAAACCATTCAGTGACCATTCCAGAATATGAGGTCCTTGGCCAGAGCAGAACATCTTATTTCCCTTCGCCACTAAAGAGAAAATGCGCAATCCCTTCTTCCCAGCGCGAGTGCCAATTTGCGATATGCCTTCTCTAACCGACTGAAGTACGCATTCATAGGAGACGGTACTAGCCAAGGTCCATTTCCCAGAGACGTCTCTTTTCCAGGTATTGCAAGTGCCGTCATAGGAACCGGAGACTAGTATATTCTCATTTCCACCATTAGGATCGCTTGGAGTTGACTGTAAAGAGCGCACCACATTAGCATGAGCGGGTAATCACTCCAGCTCAATCCCTAATAAGGCATCGAAAAACCTGATGTTCATCTGAGCCGCCGGACACAAGACATTTCCCTTTGAAAATTAGAAGAAGTGAAGAAATGCCACCCCACTTGCTAGCTCTAGGGAATTCCTGGGATGAATTTCCGGCTTCTAGGTTCCATCGACTTATTGATCCATCGCCTCCTCCGACAAAAACCCGCGGAAAGTCATCATCTATTACGATGGCGAGTACGGGTGTCTTGGGGTCAAGGCTCTGTAGTAAGATAGGGTCGCTGCAAAAGTGATCAGTATTATATATAGCATTCTGCGGCAAACAGCGTTATATCCCACAATTTAACTTTCCCGTCACGACTCCCAGTGAGCAGCCCTCTGTGACTGGAAACCAAGCATAGCACAGCTTCCTCGTGCGCTTTCCACTTGCGCAGGAGTCGGCCGGTAGATATTTCCCAGATTATTACTATGCCATCTGAATCCGCTGAAACCAATATACCTTGCGTCACACACAGGTTGTTCAATTCGCTCACATGAGGTATGATACGTAATCAGGTCGGCGGATCAAAATCTTCGCCAAAACATAATTCACCTCAGGTAGGGTTGCGTTGTCTTGTTCGCTCTCGTCCCCCTCCATTCCTCCTCCTTTCCTTCCTCTTCGCTTCACTTCTTTCTTCCTGCGCTTACTCCTCTTGTCCTCCCCGTCTCCTAGATAATTACAAATTTGTTCAATCTTCTTTCTCACCTTCCCTATTATCTCTTTTTCTCGCCCTCCTTTCTTCCTTCGTCTTATACATACGCCAATCCGTACTCTTCCGGGGTTGAAGAATCATCTTTCAAGACCTCAACTTATCAACCTAGCAGCTGATATAGATAGCAAACAGGTTCAGATCAAGATTACCGCGGTCAGACGCGAAGCCAAATGTTTGAAGGACAGGATCAAGAGCAAAAAGGATTAACTGGCTGACACCACCCTTCTTCAGACTGCACTGAGCCAAGCGGCCACCCGGTTTCAAATTTCAGCAAAGCCTTGAAACACACTCATTATTTCACAACCTGTCATCCTCTTCAACCCTTTCGTGTTCCTCTAGCTGAACCAGGAAGAATGCCAAAAATTGGACAAAGGGAGCAAAGCTTAGACATAAATCACAGGTGACTTCTTTCTCTGTCAGTGCGCATCTGCAGCCGCGTCACACTCTTGTGGAAAAGTCTGCAAGGAAATTTCACAGCTTTCATACAGAACTCTAGCCATCCGGTTATCGAAGGAGATCGGAACGCTCTATTGGTTCAGCATGAAGTTGCTTGACTACTTCACGTAGGAGGCGAGTTGGAGGTGGTGAATCTAAAATCTTGCCTCAGGCCTCTACTTGCCTCCGGACCGACTATGTCTATGTCAGCACAATTATAAGGATACTAGCTAAATGTATGAATGCATTTTCAATCATTTAATGGCCGAAAAACAAGTTTCCTCGGGGGAATTCTTTGGTCGTGTTTCGGCACAAATTGTATTGCCTATTAGACTTCCTTAGGTATCCCATCGCAAAGACATAATAGACATGAACAATTCCTGGAGAGATAATGAACACGCTGATTTTATCACAACGCCGCTAATGAAGAATAAAACTGGAGGAGAAGGGAAATTGTGATACAAAATCACCGACATTATCCCATCCCAAACAAAAGAAGACAATAAACATGAAGGCCAATCAAAACCAGCATCATAGCGTGCCGGCGATCAAGCTCCATACAACCATCATGATAAGGCCCCAGGCGGGTTTCGACAACGAGCTGGCAGCGCTCTTCCCGCCATTGTCGTTGTGATAACTCGTTGCTTTGGTGAGACCGGCATTTTGCAGGCAGTCGACGACATCTGTCGTGTTTCCGCTAGTGTTGCAGAACCGTGCACAGCGCTTGTTGTAGAGTGTGATGTTGGCAGTTTCGCCGCAGCATTCGGACATGCTGCTGAGGTATGTGTGGTCATTGGGGAACGCGGCGACATCTGTCGTCGTCCATATGTTGATGGGAGGAATGCGGACTGTGGCGGGACATTTGTCCAGGTGGCTTTGGTGACGGGGAGACATATTCTTTCGGAGGTTTCGTATACGAAGGCGTTTCTTCGAGGCAAATGAATTGGGGGTTGACAGTACTTTGCCGTAGACTTGGATCCGCTGTACGAAGGTTTGGGTTAACAGTTCTGAGACTGGGAGGAGATGATGATGTTGGGAGAAAGAAAAATTCTCCAACCTACGAGGGTTGCTCAAAATTTAAGCTATTTCGCATACTGTGTACATGCCATCTGCATCAGGGGCGGTTATAAATAAGGCTACCCGAGGCTCAAATTCGGCCCCCAAAAACCGTCCACCAACAGTCGATGATTGGCGGAGGCAAAGCCCTGCTCGATCCTGCGGTGGGGGTCGAAGGGATTAGCATGCCATTATTCCCGTCTCGTAGGCTTGGATCTGCGCGCTCAGCCTCAAGGCATGGCTGCTGCTCGAAATTTGTTTAATTTATCCCGCCCTGAAGACCCACGTCTAATTACCTTGTCACCGAAGATTGCGACTTTCTAACGGAGAGCGGAGCACCGAGTCGCTTGGGCAATGAAGGCGATGCTGCGTAGTGCATATTCCGTAATTACTCCGGAGATCCGAGTTATTGCTGCACAGCCAGTGTGCGACTTATCTGGCCGATGTTTTCTTCCCAGACGACCTATGTCAAGATTTTCTACTCCGTAGCATATGAGATACAGGAAGGAAATGGGGGCAATTTAATCAGTCGGTCGGGCGACTCTAGAAAGTCAGAACTCTTCGCATACCCCTGCGACGTTGTTAAGGTCGAGCAAATTTTCATTCCGGGCCGCAAGGATCAATGCGAAAACGAGCGGTGGGTCAAGGTTGACTAAATGGTTTTAGCTCTGTGTTGTTTACACCGGAGTACTCCGTAGTATCGCAAAGAGCCGCTAAAAAAATGACCTAATGCTAAATGACCGATGGATGATTATTCTGTGGAGGCCGGAGACTTCGGATAAAGTGGTAGCATTGGAGGTCAATTGTCGGTGTAAATGAATGAGCGAACTATGATGGGGCACCTCTTCGAGACCATGTCCTTTGGAGAATTAAGTAATTCTGAATCATATGTCATGGTCTTTGCAGTAACTAGGGGAGATTAACAGTCTAGACAGTACTGACTACCTACCTTCTCGCTTCTTAACGCGTTGTAGTGGCTGCAGCTTGCAGAAGGCGAAGGTGAAAGGAGGATAATAGGTTTCTACTACACGTAGACCCCCTGAAATGAAAGGCCAAATATTTTCATGGGATAGCATTGCTAACATTTACACTGTCGCAAATGGCCCAATGCGTCTTCACAACGGCCTGTTAGTTTCATTGGTCTCTTGCCATTGTATTGAGAAATGTCGCGAATTCCTTTCGAAGTACCTGTAAATTCACCCCATGCCTCATGGAGTGACTTTATCCTCTATTGTAAGCGACACAGCACTTCGAATTCCCGAGTCTCTTGTATCATAAAGAAAACAGTTTTTGACTTTCAGTAATCCCAGCCTGAGAGGCTTTTATGTGACAAGATTGCCTCTACCCGAAAGTCAACGAGCCATTGCCCAGTCTTCCAAATTTATGCCGTGTTGGCCAGGTACATAATTGAACGACCGGAGGTGACCTTAGCCCGTTCCTAGCAGACACTAGAAGCACTGATTGCAGTTCCAAGACCCTGGATTCTTTCGACTAAATCTCTCTGATCGCTGGAGTAATCCAGGTTATCTAGAATGATCATCGACCGTACAGAAAAGGTGAATAAATGAGGGAGTAGAGAGAAATTATCAAATTTAGTACTACCAAGCGAAAATGAATATTTAGTGATTCTTTTATTTTTAACAACCGCAATCCCAACCCAACAAATTGAGTCCCAATCCATTCTCAATACATTGAATTTACAATAACCAGTAGATTAAGCACAATACCCCAGGCTGCTCTTGACAGCAGTCTAACATGGGAACCAACCATAATAATAAGAATATTCACGGCTCAGCCTACCGTCTACATGATCTTGAGTCTGTAAGACAGTTAGTCATCAGTTAGTCAGAACTAGAAGCATGGGGCTAAGCCTACCAAAGCTTTGATAAAGTACTCCATCGTTTCATTCTCTTCCTTGAACCACACATTTTGCCTTGGTGAAAGATTGCCTGAGAATGTTTGGGCAGAATCAAAATCAATCCAGAGCACTCTATTCTGTTTGCGAGATATTATCATATTTCTCGGTTTGGGGTCGCCATGAAGGACTCCTGCTTGGTGGATACTGTAAAGACTATCGCGAAGTTGAACAAGATAATCTTTCGAGAAGTTGGATAGGTCTATTTGCTGTGCGTCCGGTATATACTCAATGAGAACGGCATTCGGAGCTAACTTGTCCTGAAGAAACATATGCAGACTTGGCCAGAGAGTCGGTTGTATTTGTGTTATCGTACCATAGAAGTCGGGAACAACCCCTTGTCTGTATAAGCCCCTTTCTTTCATGCGTCGATAAGCGGAGGATTCGCGAGAAAAGAGATTCACGTCATAATCTGGGGGGTCACATTCAGATAGGCCCCTATCATGGTACTTAAAAATCTTAGTAGCGCTTCAGTAATGACAAGGACTCACTTACTACTTTCATCACGCACATCCTTCCGCGAACTCTGACCTTGAAGACAGCAGAATTCTTGGACTCTTGCAATAACTCAAGGAATGTCACATCGGAAGGGTTAATTCCAACATATTCATCAGCCATTTTGACACCATGGGGAATATGCGCGTACACACGAGAATTTGGAACTGTACCACAGGAAGGAAGTTGGGAAAAGATAACATAAGGCGGCGGGGCTAGTGCCGACATTCATATATTTCCTTGCTGCGTATTCGTAGCGTTCCGCCTACCCACCGTCCGCTCTAACCGCTTTCCATTACTGCCTACTAAAACTGTCTGCTGCTGTCAAACTGCCCCTGGCGGCTTCATCTCTCGAGCTTTGCTACCAGCCTATTTGCCGCGTAGTCTGCGGTAGGTCATATTACGTATGCGACTTGAAGAGTTAAGCGATTGACAGTTAACGACGAGCTGCTTTGGATCATACGAAAATCGGCTTCATTTTGATGTAGAGATCGTAATTATGATCTTGCATTCTTGCTCAACCAAGCATAGGGGCCATCATTTGTAGCAGGACCAGAAATGGTGTTTGTTGATTGGGAGGTTAAATCAATCCTCCTTTTAGTGTAGCGGTCGAGTGATAATTAGGGGTCCGTAAAGTTGCAAGGTACTGTTTTTATTATTCACTGGATGCCCTATGCTCATGCCATATCATAGAATTCGTAACATTTCCTCATCAAGAAAGCGAATTCAGTCTCACTAAGCGCAAACCTAAGCGGGGAGAAAGTTACCAACGGCGGGCTAGTAATAAAAAATCCGGGGTGGGCTGTTACCTACATCCCGCCTATTCCGCGCTTTATCGTAAAAGTAAATGATAATTCTGCAGAAGCTCTTCTTCAGACATGCCTGCAGAAATTCGAAGAGATTATTTTCCTGATGACCAATACAAACAGCCACGGAAAAAGCGTACAATCGAATAAGCGGCTGAATCTAGCCTCTCGGCTTCAGACACGCCAGACTGGAAAAGAAAAAGCGAACTAGACCAACAGTGTCTAAGTAATATGGACTGACTGTTTATACAAGGCAACACACTCAGGTGTTAGGCCATGAGCAAGCTGTCGAGCCCACAAGGCTAAGCGATGAAGACGGAGCAGGCAGATAGTCTTCAAAGAACGAGTTACTTTACCCACCACAACGCAGACTGTCTTGCCGCTCCGTCCACTCTAGACGGGCCAGGCTCAACTTTGATTTTCCTAATTGTGTTTACTTGTTATAACGCGAGGCCTATAAGCAAACAAAATTCCTAATATGTTAGTGTGAAGCCAAGTAGTGTGGTAATAATGATGTTACAACATGAACCATATTCTTAGAGACTGTATGCCAAGTTTGCTGCCCGTTTTCAGCCCATCTTTTTGGATATTTTATAATATCATATATAACTATATTCACGCGCATCTTCTCATTGACATTATCATGCGCGTTATTTACCAAACCATGACTATGTATCAGGCCGTCATAGACTCGGTTTCAAAATCGTGAACAATAAGGTTGAATTCAACTTTGTAATTCACCACGATATTATTGTGAAGGATTCAGTAGCTATAAAAGTCCCTACCAACCCAAATAGAAAATGTCTTATCCCTATCCCTTTTCCATCATTAATCTATCAAGTTAGCTTAAAATAAACATACAATACGGTCGTCAGGATGATGCTTTTATCTCTTACTATGGTAGCGTGCGCAACGGCAATGACCATATGCAACATGGCGTATTCCGGGAGGGGGCTGCCACCAGGGCACCCATAACTCCTGTGATGGAGGGTTAGTATGTATCCCTTGCCCGGCCCAGGATATGCCTGGTGGGATTGGAGTGGTAAGTATTAGATCTTGATAAGAGAAATTACAGAATGTTAGCTAACAAGATGCAAAGTGTGCCTACCCAGGTGTATGCCCTCCGCCCGACGAATTCGTGTGGCATAAGTGATATGGTAAAGTTGGCAGCACAGTAATAGGTTACAGCAGGTTATATAATGTTGCTATAAATGGATTACAGTATATGGGGCTGGTATCCAATTTTGTTACAATGTATTAATTTGACTCTCTAAATCCAGCCTTGGTACAGGTTTTTGGCTAACATTTTCTTATGTTTGTTAGGTTTTCTTTGTACTGTATCTCGAATGAGAAGGTACCATCTCGAACTTAAGCAGATCAATACAATCAAATATAAGCAGTCTTCCTTCCCACAGCCCTGGGGCGAATGAGAGTTTATTCGCCTTGAGGTAGCACATCTATTACGCGCTGTACTTGCGGGTCTGAAATGTATCCATGACTGGCTCGCGTACCGTTTCTCAGTCTGAATTTACTTATTCCATCTCGTATGAAGCCACACCGTGGTGCCCTCGGGACGAGGATAAATAATTCCATGAGCAACTCAACGGATACAGGTAAAGATGGGACATCAGCTTGGCTCTGAACATAGTCCTGGCTTATCTGGTACCTGGAGGTATGTTACATCAATTAATGCGATGCTGCGACAAGTCGTGTAAACAGGGCCACATTGCTTGGATGACCCTAACACAGAGAAGCACTATACACAATGGACTCTTTACTAGACGTTACAAAGGAGGCTATTACGTGGAGGGCTCGGACTTTCACGGGAGTTGCGCTTTGGTAAAGTAAACCGTAAATTCCAAACATGTCTTGTCTAGTTGGCCGAGTATATAAAGGAATCACAATCCCCTAAACATCCGCTTGTGGTTTAAGCCTGATAATTTCTAGGAAGCTACGTTGTGAGAGGCTTTCCTCACTTCGCCTCTCTTTAAAGAATAGTTATCTACTTAATTATAAAGACGGCCAAGTACTTCTTTCCTCGTTTTTAACCGGCCGTAGAGAATCAATACTACGTTAGCGGAACTTTAGTTTTGCAGATCTATTGCACTTTGCCTTTCCAAGTAACCGTGGCTACTTTGTGAAGTTGTCAACCAGATTGCCATTTCTCATAGTACAAAGGAAACAATTTGGAATTTCTTGTAATAAGAGCAACTTGCAGTGCGGTCTACTATCTGATCAAGGCGTCCTTTGACGAAATACTACATTCTTATAAGCACTAAAATTAGCGACAGCAATACTGAACAAATCCTATCCTGTCAACTTAGGTATTATCATCATACCAAACTTGTGCTGATGATATAACTGGATTGTGGGGATGTCCGATATATTTTAGCCAGAACTAATATCTGTCTTCATAATTCTGCGGCATTCATAGGTATCTGGTTGCAGACAAAGTGAACTCTTAGCTGCTTCTTCCGGACTGCTTTTGGCACGAATGTCTTTATTGGCATCTTTATTGACGTTTCTAGTGTTAGGAATAGGGGCATATGGCTGCGAAATACTTTGTCGTTGAGGATGGGCGGTGCCAGTCTTAACATTTCCATATCAGTCACGCGATCGGCTGAAGAGACAGCAAAATCACCCGAGTCGAAATACGTCCGTTTCTTCTAACCATTAGATAGTGTTCCTAAGTGGCAAGGTTATGTAACACACCTTAGACTGCTGTCCAAGCAGACCTCCACCATGAGGTAACATTCCATAAATACGTAACAGACGTTCCTCATCTTCAGTCAGTGGCTAAAGATTGAACGGATTAATAAAACTATAGTAGAGCTGCTGAAAGGCGAAACTTACATCATGATGGGATCCTTTGCTCTGTCGTGCATCCACTTCGAGCAATATGGGATAGGGAAATGATTAAACAACACGAAGTAAGAAGAGAGATTAAAGACTATCTGTTGCCAGGGTGTATCAAAGTGGATTATCTATAATAGCCTTGTTCGCCCCTCACGTCATAATACATGAGTCACCTGGGGACAAAAATTTCATTCCAAATAAAAATCACCTAAGTTGAAGAGGAATGATGACCCCTCTACGTTAAATGACCTCAGATCCAAGTATTTTACCACGGTTGAACCTGATTGACCGATCCAGACGTTGAACATACTTTTCTCCCCGTTAAATCTTTTCGCCACTAGTAGCAGTACACTATATAACTGCAGTTTTGCGGAGCTTACTTCATACTCTTAATACCATCTACATATTTTTTCTATATAATCGCAGGCTACTATTTATTGAACATGCGAACAACCCGCCTACTTTATTCTACATGGAGCCCTCGCCAAGTCTATCGTGCGATTTTATACCCTAGAGCATTCAGTGTTCCTACTCGTGATTACAGTGGTTCCACAGAGGGCGGGGAATATGGGCAAAATCCGAGCAACGAAGGCCTGGGAGGTCAAATAAACGGAGAAATAGCAAATACGGAAGGTAAGTTAGATGTGTCACAGTCATGTGGTGCTAGTTCCCCGCAATTATTGTGCTGTCTAATCATTCTGATACTCTTCTCCCTCAATAAAATTAATTTGATATGGCGATTCTATTGTGCCCTTTACACTGAGCTTGGTCCTATAATCTACCTTCGAGCCGGTAGCAAAATGTTTACGGAAATTAAACTAATACTGATTAAAGAATGCCACGGCTCGTCTGTAGCCCCCTCGAAAAAGTCGCGCACAACAGCCAGTCACGATAAAAACCGTCCAGAGTACTACAGTCTCAAGGATTACCGAGAAGGACCTAATACAGAGAGCGGGGAGCTGGACACCGAGCATGATCAGCGAAAAGTGAAAGAGCATAATAAAGATATGGAAAATAGGTTCGAAAAGCGTCAAATGTTATATATTAAAGTCCATTCTGGCGATCACTAGCGATCCTGGGGCTACTATCCCTTTCTGTTCGCGGCCAAAAAAATTGTGCGCACACTTGCGCTAGTGACCAGCACAGATTGGTTACCATATTAAATATTCGCTGTACTTATGAATTTGAAATGTATCCATAACTAGCTCGCGGACTGTTTCCCTTGTTGAATTCGCCTGCTCCACTTCTTCAGCGGGATCATCAAGCCTAGCCGGCTACTTATGGGAAGCCATGTTTTTTGCAACGATGTATGTCCAGGGAGCGTAACAGAAGCCAATTAGAAAGTCTATGAGTTGAATGTTAAGGCAAGAGAACTGTGGCGTGGGAACACCTTTGTAAAGGAGGTGAAAGATCAGGAGAGTTCTCAGCAATGCAATTTAAGGAGAGTTGTCGGAACACCACCTGATTGCTTATCTAGTGTGGCCGCGGGAGTTGACTAAGCCGGCACTTCATCGTCTTGTTCAGTCGAAATAATCGATCAGTCAATTATTCAACATAGTTGCTTTTTATGATGAGATGATAGGTCATCATTTTGGAGCTCTAGAGATTACATAAAGATGAGCTGAATGCCATAGCTAGAATAATCAAGACCTTCATTCTTATTGAATCGGTGGAGATCACGTAGTTAACGCACCTTACAAGCGAGCCGGACAAACAAACGGGCCGGACACAACGCGTTTTGACCGCAATTAAAAACCTCACTTAATTAAAACACTAATTATGCCTCCAAAAGCGCGTTAAAATCCAAGAAATTCGGCAAAAGGGGGGATGGATCGTTCTTGCTATTTCAGCTTAAAAGCAAGAAATTAGCATTATTCGCAAGGCTGCAGAGGTTTTTAATGGACCTCGTTCAACCCTTCATGAACTATTAAATGGAAGCACCCATCGTGATGAAGTACGCACCGATAGTCATAAAATGACTCAAAATGAAGCTTGTACAATGGATTCTATCGCTAGATCGACGTGGAGCCTCTCTCCGACCGTCCTATATACGAGAAATGGCCAATATTCTACTTGCTCAACGCGGTACTACCCCAATTCAACGGTCGGGGAGAACTGGGTCGCCAACTGTTAAACGACAAGGTTGTTTAAAACTCGCTATACTCGACGTTTCGATTATCGGCGCGCTAAATGCGAAGAATGCTAAAGTTATTAGGGAGTGATTTGATAGCGTACAAGCCACTAAAATGCAACACGGGATCGCGCAAGGAAAGATCTACAATTTTGATGAGACTGCCGCAACACTTGGAGACTGGAAAATGCTTCCTTCCTACAGAAAGAAAACCTTGAGACTGGCCAACTTCGGTACTCAAATGACTGCTCGAGATCACGCGTATCAACAGCCCTAGTCCTCAGTTGCGCCAATATGATCCTGTGAGCGAGCTAGTTTGTCATGCGGGGTTTGGCGGGGTCAAAAGAAAATCAACTTCTATCTTTCCTCAGATCTCGACTGTCAAACACAAAGTCTGTCCAGAATCGAGGCCACATTATTTCCCGATAACTGATTATCCTACATATATATTGTTGGATAAAAAACGCTAAAAGTAAATATGGTCTCCACTACTGATATAACGCACCTCCGCCGCTGTGTTGAACTGGCTCGCGAAGCTCTCAACGCAGGCGATTCGCCCTTCGCCTCCGTCCTCGTCTCAGCGGAAGGAACAGTCCTAAAAGAAGACCGTAACCGAGTCGTCACCGAGGCCGACGTAACCCGCCACCCGGAGTTCACGCTCGTGCAATGGGCGCAGAAGAACCTGTTTCCGACGCAGCGCGCCGCGACCACTGTCTATACCTCTGGTGAGCATTGCCCGATGTGCGCGACTGCGCATGCATTCGCGGGGATGGGGCGGATTTTTTACGCAAGCTCGACTGCGCAGCTTCTTGCTTGGAGGAAAGAGATTGGGATGGATTCGGATCTGGTTGCGCCGCTGGCGATTAATCAGGTTGCACCTGGGGTGCCTGTTGAAGGGCCAGTGGCCGGGCTTGATGAGGAGGTGAAGGAACTGCATCGGTTGAAGCACTTGTGGGCAAATGCATGAGGATGTAACAGGAGCATTGGCACTAATCTAGTGTGGTGTAGAATATAATACAACTCTGGTGGTGCACACCGGCCATACCAGGCGCAGTGATAGAATTCCAACCCTAGAGGTTCCAGACACAATCTATATAAGGATCCCCATAAACCTTTAGTATACGATCCTTGCTACGGCTATTGCGCAATGATGCGGATGTTTTCCTAACACCCATAGCGCCTAGTGATGATTTATCTACCTGTAAGATCGACGCGACATTCTAACGAATCCCATTGAATGATATAGAACTAGCTCCTAAATACATTCAATCAAATTATCCCGCAGGTTCCTGTCTTTTTTATCATCCTTAACCGATTGTTATACCGATATCAACACAACATTAGTACTCTATTCCTGTCCTACATGAATTTGATTGTTAAAAGAAATTGAGTATCCTCTTCAAAGGTAGGCCTTCACAACTAGTAAAGGAAAGAGTACTCCACATAACTATCTCTTCATTTATCCTACCAGCCACAGCGGACCGGTGATGCTACGCGTAGGCTTTGAGGAAGAATGATGTACATCAACGGCCATGGATTTTCTTATCTTGCACTGAGCTCGTGATATCTATTCAATTTTCCTAGCTTTAGAGAGACTCCACCCGTTTCCTTGGCAAATATGACAAGGGACGCTTTCTGTTGTAAGCCAATTCACTCCAAATATGCTGCGGCCTAGCTCCGGTGCTAGTTCGACCAAGGTGAAGGGATCGGGAGAAATCAGACTGTGTTGTGGAATCCTATAGATTCAATGGAGCCCGCGTTGTTTTCCAGGAACTCGGTGAGGAATTGTGCATGGACGTACAGGCAGCACAGGTCCAGCTGCTGGAGATGTAGCAGGGCGTGGGACAGTGTTCTTAATGGTGACCCAGATCCACTTAGACGTAGAATTCGAGAGTGATCTACTAAATCACAGATATACGTTCTCAGCGTCTGCGCTTTTGGCGTATCCCATGAGCTAAAGTAAGGAAGCTCGAGGTTTGATAATTGAATGGAATGCAAGAATGTTCCACTGTCGGTTTAGGTTTTGAGGCCCTTTATAATGGCGTGGAAGTGATGCTCAAGGGTCTTTTCTTGCATGGTCATAGTCGTGTCCAAGTAAGATCCCACCCAATGTTCTTTTGCGTTTGTCCGACGAAAATATACGCAGAAACCGGTCAGTTTAGGAAGTTGTTGTCCAAGAGCAGCCGAAAGCACTTCAATATCCTCACGTCTTTTCAAAATATCATGTTGCTCCTTACATATACCCCTGAAAGTATCGTAGATGACCATATATGGGGGAGGTGGCTTAGCCGGACAATCCTTGTCAGACGACTGCTTTAATTCATCCAGGTAATTCTTAGGGGGAAGAATGTTGTTTCTAAAAAACCTGAAATCCATGATCTCTAGACCAGATTAGTAGGTTCCCAAGTTCTCATCATAAGGTCCTTACCAGATTGAAGCAGTTCCGGAACAACATAGGTTAAAGAAACCACATACCAGCGCAGGTTTGACAGTAGCAGCCGTTGTAGCGATATGAAACCCGATCTCGAAAATTCAAAACTGACGTTACGGAATAAATACGGCAAGCAAACCTTCCTCAGTCGTTCACTAACAGATGAGAGGCGTTTGACATCCCGACTGGATAGACGGGTTATGATTTCATAGAGTAATTCGGTGGGCAAAAGCTCGAAGCGAGCATGTCTGCGTATGGAGTTCATCATCAACAATACGTAGATAATAGAAATAGGCTTCGCCGAATAGGTCTCATGCCAGCTAATTACGGATATCGGTTAAAGTACTTTTCCGGACAATAGCCGACTGTGGCAGATACGCGGTAGGTCTACCGAGCGAGGTGAAAATCAACCAATTATATGACCATATTCAAACTGGCTGAAGGACTTGAAAAATTCAACTAGAACTACGCGATTTGAAGCCGATTTTAATATGCACTTTCAGAGGCTTCGAATCGATCATTTCGATGAGCGATATAATGTGATATACGTGTTGGAATCGCATTTGTTTGGGCCGATCGCTTGAGTGATCGGTTGATTTGAAGCAAGGCGATGATATAATCATTTTAGTCATCTCCCGCCGGCCACACCGACCTTGTCTCCGAAGTATTGCGCAGTTGTCAATAACCGGCACAACCAAGTATACTGCAGCAATTATTTATCTGGAATACAGCTAGTGAGTTTGTGCCAATTATGCATGGGGCTGCTGTATTCTATTAGCTCTAATTGATGTCTGGGGGAAGTCTCTTAATATAGACCAGATTCTGGTGGGGTCGATCTATGCCGAGCAATGACGTCCATCCTATAAGCGTTCCATCCTCGAACAACCTTCTTGGCAATCTTGCCTTTGGAATCAGATTCTGTGATTAAAGAAACACATGGTGAAATAATTACGGCTTTTCTGTCACTGTAGCAGCCATATTTCGTAAAATCCATCATTATCAATAGTTAGTGGATAGAGCCACGATCCGCTTGAATGATATCAATCATCATGTTCCCACGCATCACTAGACAGCATCACATTGTGGAAGTATTCGCGATATACAGTTTGAAACCAGTGTCTAAATAAAGCTTTGTGCCTTCTCAAACAAAGAATGGAGTCCTTCCAATTTGGAAGTGTGTCCTTCCTCCGTACGGTCTTTGTACAATCTGAAACATGGCAACCCCGCTGTCGCAGTGCTGCCTCGACGACCAAAGAAAACAATAACAGAGATGTAAGAAAGAGTCATGTGACGCAAATTTGCTCAAGTATTTACATCGAGTGCCAGAATTCGGCTAGTGCGCGGTCCACATCCAGCGATGAACCTTGCCAAATTGCAAGTATCTCTAGAGACAGCGATTCAGACAGTAGTCCTTCTCTCAGGACCGCCTCTCGATTAAGACTTTAGAGCTCTACTCGAGGCACTAATATTCTCATCAGTAGCTGTCAAAATGCTGGAAAAGATGGTCATTCTTTATCTTCGCGAACGTATTATCACTGATTTCCGGAATCGGTTTTCCGCCGGTGCGGTGTATGTCGGCTAGGAAGACAAGCTTAGTTTAAAAATCCGCAAAGATCATTTGATTAGTAATTGTGGAGCAAATACGTTAAAATTCAGGACGGCTGAAAGTGAAGAAGCAACCGATATTTTAGAGATATCGAGTGGCTATCGTTTACAATTAGGCCAGCTTCGGTGTGCGGTTTGAATTCGAAACTCATGGGTTGCTCGCTCGGTATATTTTGGACCGCGTCATCATCTAAAGGAATCGCGGCTCCCTGGCAGTCTATTATGGTTGCGGATACTACTTGCCCTTCAGTAAAGATAAATTTGCGAGAGACGCTACCAATCAGCTCCTTTAATGATAGCTGTTGGAGGTACACGGCGTAGTATATTTCGTCGTCGCAGGAATATCCACACTCTTTGAACGCCCGGATATATAGACAGTGTCCTACCAATATTAGATTTTCTTAAGCTCACACTGCCAAAGGGAACACATACGAGATATTCTCATGTTGACGCTTCGTGTGGCCTTTGGTCGCGATGCTTGACGGGGTATTATTGATGCCTCTGACTCCTGAATGCCGCGCTGCAACTGGAAAGCAGGTGATGGATCATATGGTATGCTATTCAACCAAGCATAAATCTCATTATTGGCAAACATCGTATGCTCCGATACTGAGCCCACACCGTGCAATCTGAGTTGGGAAGTTGTGTAGTCAGATTATAACATATTGCTGAAATAAAGGACTATTTCTTCGGCCCCCTTACCAAAGTTTACTCCGGTTTTGGTTGAAAATTGGCTTCACACTGATTGGCCGGCTATGTTATCCGACGAAAAGTCAGGGTGGCTCCGTAGTTAGATATTGCTGCCGCCATTTATTAATGAGAAGCACCCATCAGAAGCCGAGCATCAACTAACAGCATTTTCAAAATCGCCAAGTATTAATGCAAGTCTAGAATAGTGCTGAGGAGTAGTGAGGACAAATCAATCCAACTTCTATTACATAATGTTTAGGTTCGTTAAGCATTTACTTTACCGTGTTAAAGAGTGTCCGCGTGACCCGGTTATTTAGCGCTCAGGAAAAACGTGGCGCGGTCGTCTTCAATGAGGACTCTGTTCGCAAGCTCCAGTCATTACATCCGGTTCATGAGTTCAACCATTAACTAACTTATATCCGGCATTAATAACCTGAGATTAGTTCAATATTTGCTGGTTAATAGAGCCACCCCCATCCCGCCCTTTTTCCTTTTATTTTTACTATTTTCGTTTCAAGGAAAGGATTATCTTCATTTAGGGGCTTGATAGCTGAAGCGGGCGGTCATACAGAGACCAATTATAATCACTATTGGGCACCCCAGTAACCGATGCAATCACATGATCTTGTGGCTGGACTAAACCTTACAATTCGCCCCAAATCTGTCACAGCGAAAGGAAGATTGTCACTAGTTGGCCTCAAGAAGCGACTTGGCCAGTTGTTTTCTAAGCTGATTTCCGGTAATTTTATAAGCTATTTTTCGAAGCATAATGTCGGAAAACCACCAGCTGATTACTTATTTAGTTCCTATTTATAAATTCGAGCTTTAGTTCAAGTGATGTCATTTCCCTCTCGACCACAAGGGTTCTAGGGAATTCAGCCTTTCACGTGCCGTAACCTCGTTGTGGCAGAAATAGTCTTGGCAAAGAGCTGATTAATACGCCGAGCTTATATGATCATATGAAATGATTAAAGGTCTTGATTTATTCTAATCTACTGTAAAAAGAAGCCATATTTATGCAATTTCAGGGGTTTTAAAGATGTAATTTTAGGGGCTTGATTATATGATTTAAGCTCTATAATTGTACGATTAATATTGATTAATTAATTAATTAGTTGAGTAAGGTAGTAAAGTAATTATTTAGTTAGTTCCGCGGCTATATACCCCTTTAGCGCCTTGTGTAGGGCCATTATCTTCCTTCTTAAGCTATAATAAGATCTTTAATATTAACAAGATTTAATATCTTCATAAATTTATAGTAGTTTTAAGCCAGGAGGGGCTTTATAAGCCTGTCTGTAATTATTTAATTGGTAGGGATCTATTATACATATAGATCGCTTTTCTGAGCTTCCTGGCGAAGCCATAAGCGGTGTATATTAATATAATAGAGTTTAGAGCGTTGCTCTATGTTTTTGGAGTTAACTAATCAGACAGTTTATTAATTATTGCAAAAAATGATTATTTCGTGTTAGGGATTAAAGTCTATGGTGCTAAAAACCCTCCTTTACTAATATACTACTTTAGCTGCTTTAGATAGAGTAAGAAATTTAGCTTTAGTTATAAAGGTTATTATAGCTCGCTGCTTGCTTGCTTTTTATTCTATAGGCCTATTATAAAGCTTTATAAGAAATCTTACAGAGCTCCAGCAGTCTAGCTAATCTCTAAAAATTATATCTGAAGTAATAACTGTGATCTTTTAATTATCTATTTTAGCGGAGTATTCAATTGCATAAAACCGTATGGTGTAAAGATAAATAATAATTTAGTTTATAGCACAAATATAATCTACTGATAGGTTCTTAAGCGCTTTAAATAAGTAGCTTATTATATATATAATATTAGGTTGTGTAATTATTGCGGGGTACTAGCTTAATCTTATTTTTATTAAATATTCCTTAATCTTTGCCTCTGTTACCTGGCCTTTGTAGGGATTAAAATTAAGCGAGATTAAATATAGTGTATTTAGCTATTTTATAAGATTATTTAAATAAAATTTTATAATAATATTCTTAAAATATGTATTTTGGTAGAGCCAGAGCTTTTTACAAGCTTTATCTTAAATAATTCTAACTTTAAGAAACTAGTTTATTTCTCTTATATTATATAGCTTATATTTTTCCGTGAGGGCTTCCTTAAATTATCTTGCGGCTTTTTAGGCTTTAGTGGTAGGTAAATTAATAATAATAATATTATTAATATAAACTAATATAATTATATATTAATTTATAAAGAGGCACTGCTCTTCAGGTACAGGATAGAAGCCAAACTTGAGTAGTATAGTAGAGAGGGCTTGCTATTAAAAATATAATAATTTCTATAATTTATATAGTGTTTTTCTGAGCTTTTATATCTTTTTTTTTATATGGAATCCCTCTGGCGATCTTATGTATATAGCTTTTTTAAGTAGGGTGTTTAGGAAGGTGTTTACAGCATCTTTCTAGTCTATATTAAGGTTAAAAGCAGCTACTAGTGCTATAGTAGCTCGAAATACTCTCACAGATACTGTTACCGCGAAATTATTAGTAATAATATTTTTTTTAAGATCTTCTCTTACACAGATTTGTTTTTTCACTTTTATAAAGTTGCTATTTTTATCGAATTTATATATAAATACCTATTTTAATAAAAGAACCTGTAAATCGCGAGCTTCCTCTTAATTAATAAAAATAAAGTAGTCTTTTACCTTAAGATTTTCTACTTTAATCTACGCAGCATGTAAGAATTTATTTTTAAGTAGGTGTTATAGTATTTCTGTATAAGAATTTAGTAAAAGCAGAAGCTTATTATAGTACTAGTGTTTTTTTTTTATCTATAAGTTTTATAATTATTAAGAAAGCCTTTTAAGCGATATAGGGATCAGAGATGTAAGAATTAGTAATTATATTATTATAAAAGAAGTCTAGATTTTTTTAGGTAGGCCTTAGTTTTTATTTTATATATAATATATTTTTTTCCTGGGTTCTGTTATTAATAAGACTTTTTTTTTTATATCTTCCACCCCCTAATCTTGATAAGTTATATAAATTATAAGTATCCTCTGATTTGTAAAGTTAAATAGGTAATATAAATAAAGCTTATAAGCTCTCTGTTTTAAGTATCAAGCTCTGCAGTAAATCTTATAAAAATCCGGATAATAATCTGTCTTATAGAGGAATTACTAAGTATTATAATATTTAATTTAGTTTCTTAGGTATAAGATCTTCTAGAAATCTTTCAGGAATTATTTTAGTGCGGCTATAGCTTAAATTAATTTCTTTGTGAGCTTCAGTATGTGGCTTAAATATTAATTTAGGTATTAGTAGAGTACTCAGTTATATAGGGTTACTGTAATAAAAGATCTAATCTATCTTCTAGTTTTTCTAATTTTTATTAATTTTACTAGTTTAAGCTTTTTCTAATCCCTGATTCTCTGTAGCTTATAGAGATTTTTTTATTTTAATATAATTAGTCTCTTTGTTAAGGAAGATCCTTTCGCCTTTTAATAAGTCTAATACCTCTATAGATGGCTCTAGAGATACCTCGCTAAGCAGGTCTTTAAAAAACAGTTATATAGGATTATAGGATTATGTTTTATTAAATATGATATCTCTTGCTTTTTTAACGCGTTATTTTTTTAGATTTTATATATGTCAGATATTCAAGACCATAAAGCCAAGGAGGATGCCTTTATATACGCGGGGGACTATTTTATTACTTAATAATTAGTCCTGTCTTATATATATAATATAGCTAATTACATAGAATACTAAAATATCTGGCTTTTTGCCTATAATTATCTTATATAGTATTTTCTAATTTAGAGCTTTAGTAAAAGTATGATTAGTGATATTTATTATTTCTTTTATAACCTATAGCTAGAGATCTTAAAATAACTTAGCCTTAATTATTATCTTCTTTTTTTTAAGTATAAGAATAGCTCCTATATATTCTGTAGTACTATTTTACTTAAGTATATTAATTATAGAGTATTTATAAATAATTCCTTTAAGCTCTTTTTTATACTTGACTGTATTACTAAGGGTTTGCTTATGATTATTTTTAAAAAAGATAATCTTTATTTTAATAAGATATTATATTTGTTAAATAAAGATATTAAAGACTTCTACGCAGCTGTTCTTTAAGCGGTGGGTAAAGATATTATGAAAACGTGAATTCTTGTTATAAAAATATGAAATCTATTAATCTTTATTTAATGTAGGCTTTATTTGTATAAGATTAAAGTGTATGTGTTAAAATAGTATTTTAGCTATTATTATAGACCATCTTAAGATCTGTCTCGGGGCCTCGGACACCTTGTATATCTTATATTTTAGATTATTATGTTATTTTACTTGAAAATGGTTAATTTAGATATCTTAAATAATTTTAGGTAAGTAATAAAGCATATCCTAATTCAGATAAACTATACAGTAGTGCTATAAGTTAATATTTTTTTTCAGAATATAAGCTCTTGCTAACCTGTGTAGATTATAATCTAGTTTAATTATTATAATGTTATAGTAAGTGCTTTTTTTTTTTCTTAATAATTTATAATCTTAATAAGTGCTTCTTTACTCGGAATATAACCCTGCTGTTTTATAAGATTATATTACAGGCTATACTAAAGTTATAGCTGGCTTGTTTAAGCTTTTACGTGCTTAGGATATTTATATAAAGATCTAGAATAAAGATAATATTAATAAGGATAATTTTTTAATTTTTTTTTTCTCTGTAATTTAGCTGTATTTTGACTTTTCCGAATCCTTAGATCTTAATAGTTAAATTACTAGCGTGAAGTTATCCTTTGCTTAATTAATTAAGCTTCTTGAATCTTGATATCTTGTTGTATATATGTGTATAAGAACTGGTATTAATAATAAAATAGTTTTTAAGCGGGATATCTAGCAAGGTGTTAAATAAGAGGGCTATAATATAATATTCTTAAGGCTTTTTTTGCTTCTAGTTTTTTTTAATAATTGATCTGACTATTTAGGCTTGTGTTAATAATTTTGTAGTAAAGTCCTTAATTTTTTTTATAGCTCTGCTGTTTGGCTTCTAGTTTAGTAGCTGTAGATCGGGATAAAGCTGCTAATACTTGTTTATATAATGTTTTAGTCTGTATATATAACAGTAAGTTTCTTTTTTTTTCTTTATATCTTAAAGCTTTTGGGCGTTTGCTGGTTTATTACTTTAATTATTAAGTGTGGTAAAAGTGTGTGTTACTGCTAAAT